CCAAGAAAATCTCACAATATCTACCCTCTCCTAAGGACCCATTACCGCCCCTATCTTCCTGTGGTGTCTATTCTATTCCTTGTTCATGTGGACATGTGTATATTGGCGAAACTGGTCGTTCCGTCAAAACTCGGATTCAAGAGCATCAAAGATGCATTCGATCAGGTCTTTTCTCCCATTCTGCAGTTGCCGAACACTGCCAAGAAACCGGTCATTCCATATTGTTCGAAAAAACCCATATTATTTCTAAGAGCCCCTTCTTTTATTCCAGGAAAATCCGCGAATCTCTAGAGATCCGAAAAAATCCCCATAATATCAATCGAGAGGAAGGATACTACTTGTCTCCCATCTGGAATCTCAGTCTAGAGCCACCATCCGGTCCCGCCACCACATGATTGGCCAGCGCGCGCTTCTTGACGTTCGCGCCACGAAGTGTGCCGATACGTCCCGACACGACAGGCACCGCGACTATAAATAGAGCGGTAGCGGAGTAATCGTCGGATTCACTCCCCGCCTCTCGACGCGTTAGTGTTCTGAGCTGTTGGACGTGAATCCCTGTCCTGGCATTTGGTTTTCACCTCTGGCTGCGTTGAGTAGTTGAGTTACTGTGACCAAATGCCCATCTTGGTAGTTAGTATTCGCCTCTGGTTGCGTTGAGTAACTGAGTTACCGTTGCTAACTACCCATCTTCCTGTTCTTTTGTTTTCTTTTTTCTTTTTCTTTGTTTCTCCTGAAGAAGCTACATATAATTGTAGCGAAACGTCGAGATGAACCCACTTTTGGGTCACTCACAAATGACACGGTCCAAACCCGGAAGACGAATAAACTATAATTCTGACTCTGGCCGTGGAAGCCTACGATTTCATTTGACCAACCTCTACGGGGAGGTTATATTCCGCAAAACCTCAGAGTTCTCCAATCTTCGCTCTAAAGTTTCATCTCTACTTTCTTCGCTCACCTTCCTCTCTAGATGTCGTGATAATAACTTGGTTCCCAATTTTCTTGTTCTAAAACATCACATTTCCTCTTCATCTTCTTCCCGAATTCTACATCGAGCCAGCCTATCTCTACTTCGTGAACGGATTCAACATATTCGAAAAACCCTTAATTTTCAATCCCAAAAACTTTTTAAGCTGCATCTTGAACTCTCCAGTATTCTTAGTGTCGATGATTGGTCACTTTTAGACCGCATTTCCTATCATCAAGCCGATAAAATCCTTCTTCTAAGCAACGAAACTCACAAAAAGAAATTCCAATCCCTTGTATCTAAGAAAAAATCACATTCCACCACTTCTACTTCTCATTCACCTCTCATTAACACCGTCGTTAATCTTTCTTCTCACCAATTAACAAGTGCAGAAAGCAGTCTTCTATCTAAAGGTCTTAATTTTGCATCACTCCTTCCAGAATTCCTACCGAAGAAATAGTTTCAAATGTGGAAGCGGCACTCCGCACAATTCCCAAAATTCCAGCCGACCGTATCCGCTTTGACGTCGCTAAATGTCTTGATACAGCCAAAATCCCTACTTCCAATATATCTCGTGAGGAATTCATAGCTCTCAAAAATCTCCGTTCTCTTTCTGAGATAATAATCCTTCCTGCAGACAAAGGTAATGCCACAGTCATCCTGGATACTCCTTCCTACATAGAGAAAGTAAACGACTTACTTAGGGATACATCCTGTTATAATACAATTTCTCGAGACCCCACTCCTAGAGTCGAACGCGAAATTTCCCATGCCATCAAACAATCCGATCTTTCCGATGATGTTAAGAAGTCCATAGTTCCAAAAAACTCCATCTGCCCCAGAATTTATGGTCTTCCGAAAATCCATAAAGATAACGTACCTCTTCGTCCCATTGTGACTACGATTAACTCTCCTACCTACAAACTCGCAAAGTACTTGTCCAATCAGTTTAAGACCTATACTGGTCGTACCTCTTCTTATGTCCGAAATTCCACACATTTCATCACCTTAATCTCCTCTCTCACAGTCGATCCCCAAGATATTCTCGTCAGTTTCGATGTATCATCCCTATTTACCAATATTCCCATACATGACTCTCTAGTTGTTCTGCGAGATCACTTGACCAATGATAACAAGTCTTTGGTTTTGGCAGATCTTGCCGAAAAATGCCTCCTTTCAACATATTTTTCTTTTAGAGGCAATTTCTACAAACAAATATCTGGAACACCAATGGGTTCTCCCCTTTCCCCTGTCATTGCTGACATTTTCATGGAAGCCTTTGAGTCTTTAGCCCTAGAATCTTACCCCTTAAAACCAAAAGTCTGGTTCCGCTACGTTGATGATACATTTATCATCTGGCCCCATGGTCAGCATACCCTTTCTTCCTTCCTAGATCATCTTAACTCACAACATCCGAGTATAAAATTCACAATGGAAGTAGAAAATAATCGGTCCCTTCCCTTTCTCGATGTGTTAGTCACCTCCAAGCCCAATGGCCGATTGGGTCACTCTGTTTATAGAAAAAAGACTCACACGAATCGTTACCTACATGCTTCATCACACCACCATCCTGCCCAAAAGAATTCTGTGATCAACTCTCTCATCCATCGGGCCATTTCGATTTCTGAACCCGACAACCTTAGAGAAGAACTTGGCCATCTGCAAAAAACCCTTGTCGCCAATGGTTACTCCAAGTCCACAATTCAAAATATTACACACCGACATCTACATCCCCCTTTACACCCTAGGACAACAAATTCAGAATCTTCGGGTAATACTCCTGTGGCTTTTCTTCCGTATATTCGAAATGTCACTGATAGGATTGGCAAAATTCTTCGCAAAGAAGGTATCAGGACTACTTTTCGACCACCCAAGAAAATCTCACAATATCTACCCTCTCCTAAGGACCCATTACCGCCCCTATCTTCCTGTGGTGTCTATTCTATTCCTTGTTCATGTGGACATGTGTATATTGGCGAAACTGGTCGTTCCGTCAAAACTCGGATTCAAGAGCATCAAAGATGCATTCGATCAGGTCTTTTCTCCCATTCTGCAGTTGCCGAACACTGCCAAGAAACCGGTCATTCCATATTGTTCGAAAAAACCCATATTATTTCTAAGAGCCCCTTCTTTTATTCCAGGAAAATCCGCGAATCTCTAGAGATCCGAAAAAATCCCCATAATATCAATCGAGAGGAAGGATACTACTTGTCTCCCATCTGGAATCTCAGTCTAGAGCCACCATCCGGTCCCGCCACCACATGATTGGCCAGCGCGCGCTTCTTGACGTTCGCGCCACGAAGTGTGCCGATACGTCCCGACACGACAGGCACCGCGACTATAAATAGAGCGGTAGCGGAGTAATCGTCGGATTCACTCCCCGCCTCTCGACGCGTTAGTGTTCTGAGCTGTTGGACGTGAATCCCTGTCCTGGCATTTGGTTTTCACCTCTGGCTGCGTTGAGTAGTTGAGTTACTGTGACCAAATGCCCATCTTGGTAGTTAGTATTCGCCTCTGGTTGCGTTGAGTAACTGAGTTACCGTTGCTAACTACCCATCTTCCTGTTCTTTTGTTTTCTTTTTCTTTTTCTTTGTTTCTCCTGAAGAAGCTACATATAATTGTAGCGAAACGTCGAGATGAACCCACTTTTGGGTCACTCACAAATGACACGGTCCAAACCCGGAAGACGAATAAACTATAATATATATATATATATATATATATATATATATATATATATATATATATATATATATATATATATATATAGTCCCAAGATTCCTAAGAGGAACATAGGGCTTCCACAAAGTGTCTCCAGCGAACTCTATTTCTGGCTAGCGCTTTGATTTCAAGCCAGGATTTTCCCATTTTTCTCCCTTCGTCCAGTACTGTCCTTCTCCAAGTTCCCTTAGGTCTGCCTACTTTCCGTCGGCCTTGGGGATTCCAAACCAACGCTGTCCTGGCAATGTCATTTGGCGGTCTACGGAGTGTGTGGCCCAGCCATCTCCATTTTCTTCGCCTTATTTGCTTTATGACATTTTCTTGGTTGCTTTCGTTCCATAAATTTTCATTGGAGATTCGGTTAGGCCAAAATATACGAAGGATTTTTCGTAACGCTCTATTGATGAAAACTTGTAATTGGTGTACTATGGGTGCTGATATCTTCCACGTTTTGCAGCCATACAGTAATACAGCTTTTACATTTGTGTTGAAGATTTTTAATTTCGTTTTAGTTGGGTAAATCCTGGATTTCCATATGTTGTTAAGCATGTTGTAGGCGTTGCGAGCCTTATTTATTCTTTCATGTACATCACGCTCTGTACCCCCATTACAGTCAATTATGCTGCCCAGATATACAAATTCCGCTACTCTCTCAATTTTCTGGTCGTTGATCATAATAGGTCATAGCAGACCTTATTTTTTTATTTCCTGTGAGGACGACGACATTCGATGCTATTTTTCTTAACTAACGGCATTGAACGCGTTATTAATCTGAAGACACCTTAAAATGGCTTCGGGTGGTCAAAATCGGCCCATGGCTTATTTGTCAATCAATTTTTATTCTTATTTCCTTCTTTTATCATTATATCTATATTTCCATGTCCATCCTTTACAATTTCAGCTGTTTCTAAAAACATTCGTTTTTAGATACGGAGAATGTTTGGAAAAGTATTTAGTATTTATTTAAATCTTTTCTTTTTAATACTCTTATTAGTTTTAAGTGTTTAGTGTTAAATATGCACGCGCCTTTCTCTTATGGGGAACAAAGAATCTTACATAATTCTCTTGTTAGAAATAATTGTTTGTGTAAATTGAGGACGACTAGATTTAGATATTACATTTAGATTAGTCATCTGGCATATGCCGAAAGACATATGTCTATTAAAATTAAAGGATGAAGAATAAATTGTAAGCACATTATAAGGTACTGCAATAACATGAATCAAACATGTTTTTGTAGCTTCCATGCGTTACTCCTATCGATGAAATCACTAGAAATAACGAAGGTGTAAATCTTACAAGAAATACTTACATGAATATCTTCGTTTTCGTCTATTCTTGATATCTGGAAAAGTTTGACTTTTAATTCCAGGGTTTAAATCCTGTTCTCCTCCTATATCACAAGTATTTCCAATAACATTTTTATCACAGTCGTTATAGAAAACACCATCAACCACTTTACGGCTTTTAAGGCACTTGACTTCATCCAAAACTAAACTATCTTTTCTAAAGTGTAGGGAGTGAGGTTTACTCGCGGTACATTCGTCCTATAATATAAATGATAATATATACTATTTACATCGCATGAAATATTTGCCACCAAGAGGGCATTTAATCAAATCTAAAGCAGGATTCTAAATATGGCTAAACAATTCATTCTTTGCAAAACACATAATATAAGCCATTGCAAAACACATAATATAAGTCAATATAAGTCATTGCAAAACACATAATACTCGGTTCGCTATTCCCAGTCTGAACTGTCTAGTGAATTTGATTCGATTTGAAGTTGTATACTTGAGCTATTAATACTGATAAGTAGGAATTGTTGTGTTGTAGGTTTCCGACAATAAATCTGTGAAAATATGCCCGAGCTAAGCGAATGGAGTATAGCACGTTAGAACGCGACAAAGGCAAAAATAAAGTACTATTGGTACAATAAAATATTTTTTTTAACTCAATTATCTGAAAATATTTGTTTATCTTGTAGTACATATTAAGTACTTAGCTGTAGTTCTCATCTTTATTTATACATTTTTTATATTTTGGGCACATACAATAAAGATTATTCTATTTATTACTTGAGATTACAAATTATTATTACAAATGTTATAACCCAAAGATGATATAACCCCAAAAATAGAACGATATACTATTAACTCTTCTCACAAAAGTGTCCTAAGTAACACACAAGAAATCTTCTCTGCAACAAGCAAAACAACACGTTTTGCTACATTTTCTTAGAGTTTCCAGGTTGTGGAGATAAAAATTGAAAACTTATTATGACGCAAGACTATTTTGCCACGCATCGATCATTTTTTTATTGGAAAACTGTCTTAGATCACGGAATATCACTTTTAAAATTGTCATAACATTATCATATTTGGTAGCTTCTCTTGTGATAAAGTCAGCTTCTTCATTTCCTTTTATTCCGGTATGAGATGTAACCCACACAAGTTTGACCTCAGAGTAGATTTCTCGCATAGCACCTGGTTATTCTTTCAATTAATAAGACTATGGAGTTAGTTGAATATAACTCATTGTTGTCAGAGAGATTGGAGAATCTGTGATAATGGGAGAATACAGAGAAAGAGAGATTTGTTTATGGTATTCATATGAATATATAATTCTAATGTAAAAATAGACGTTTCGAGCATTAATTTAAATTGGAAGGGGAAATGTTGAAAATCTAATATTTTAATTGTTTAATTTTTATGTATAAGGAAAAGAGATACTTTTTTGCTCTATCTGAAAAAATAGACTGAAATGTTACAAACTAAAGCTGCCCCACCAGAGTCCACGTAGATACCTGGAAAGAAAGATTCCATGGAAAAAAATATCTCTCTGAAGATAAATATGATAATCTCTTTTCATATTCATTCTTTATATATTGCTTTCACACTGCTGGCTGAAATGGTAATATGTCAATTGTATTTGAATCTCTTTGCCCCAAATAAGTATCGAACTTTCAGAACACCCTTCGTTGATATGACACCGCTGTCTGAAGCGCCAACGGGGAACTAAAGAGTATCAAATGGAGTTTTACCTAAACACCTATTTATTGTTAAATAGCCAAAAGTTTCAGTAATAAATGGTTATTCTTCTGGTTTTGAAATACCAAATCCTGTGCTTTCATTATCTCCCTCCGTCTCTTGCGGTATAAGATCTAATAGTACAGATGGCTAATCGGACTAGACATTGAAGGTACTCCAAGAGTCATGTTCAAAGCTACATTTATTGAAGAGAAGGGACAATTTACGGATAGTATAACACTGTTCATCATCTAGCCTCGAAAGTCCAAAGCTCAGCATAGGCCTCTTCCTCGGGCTTCCAACTCGGTCCATTTTGCGCCTCTCTCGCCCATTTTTTATTTTGTCTTCTTAGATCGTTGACCGATGCTTCCCGTGTCTTTCCTTGGGCTCTATTCCAATAACCTCTTTGTCCCTCGCCCATCCATCATTATATCTATGTGTGCTGCCCATCTAAGTTTTTTTACTTTGGTATACAGCCTAAAACTAGGAATTTTCCCTTTCTGAGTTAAACTAACACTCTGTATACTAGACACTTAAGTAAAATATTGAAACCAAACATAGCGCTGAAAGTAACCCGTAACAAAACCTGCGATCTCAGAAAAATATATTTAAAATTAATGATAACCAGTGGTAAAAGACAGTCCCACTGAAAAAATACCCATCAAACGTGGAGTACGGAAGGGTTGTGTTTTGTCACCCACTCTTTTTAATCTGTACTCTGAAGAAATCTTTAGGGAGGCTTTGGATGACAGACAAGAGGGAGTAAGACTAGGTGGAGAAGTAATCAACAATATTAGATACGCTGACGATACAGCCATTCTTGCAGAAAGTTTACAAGATCTCCAAACATTACTAAATCTAGTCAGTGAAGCAAGTTATCGGAGAGGCCTAAAAATCAACATTTCAAAGACACAGTGGATGGCAGTTGGCAGTTGGAAAGATCCATAGAGATCAAGGTCTGCTTTCTCTTAATGGAGAAGAGATAGAAAGGGTAAATCATTTCAAATACCTTGGCAGCTGGTTAAATGTAAATTGTGACTCTGATGAAGAGATAATATCCAGGATCGAAATATCACGTAAGGCTTTTATGACCTGGAAACCAGTTTTATGCAACAGAAACCTGTCAATGAATATTCGTAAGAAGGTCCTGAAATGTTATGTGTGGTCGATCCTATTGTATGGTTGTGAGACATGGACGTTAAAAACCACAATGCTAAACAAGTTAGAAGCATTCGAATTGTGGTGCTATAGACGAATCCTAAAGATATCGTGGGTTTCGCACACTTCTAATGAAGATGTTCTTCAAATGATCAATTCAGAACGTCTGCTCATAAACACCATAAAGAGGAGAAAAACAGAGTACTTCGGCCATATAATTAGAGGACCCAAATACCATTTACTTCGCCTTATAATACAAGGAAAAGTGGAAGGAAAGAGATGGATTGGTCGAAAGAAACTTTCATGGCTGCGTAATATTAGACAATGGTGTGGTTCCACAGTAGAAGAATTATTTCGCGCAGCAGCCGACAGAGAAAGGTTTCAGGAAATTGTAAACATGATGACGGCCAACGTCTGAATACGGACACCGGCACCCAAAGAAGAAGAAGTGGTAAAATTTACAAGTTATACAGATAAGAAGTAGCTAAACCAAGAACTATCAATAACCAAGTGTTAAGGAGCACTGTCAATACATGGTACTATAAGAGACCACTGTAGAGACCTGGAAATAAACACTGTTCATCAAAGTATTAAAATACATCAGGTGTCAAAAAACGCCATTCACATTCTTAGCAATATATTTCTGAGCATGTGTTTTAAGAAGAAACTTTTGATTTGGTAAAACGAAAAACGTAACTAATTTAAAAAATAACAAAATTGAATTTACTTACTGGATCATCTTCTCCATCGTATCCACCGTCTAATTGTGGAACGAGTGTGGTATTCCACAAATCATCATCACTTCCTTCGCTTTCCCGTTTTTCTGGTATAACTTTTATAGGAGTTGTGGCACATTCCAAAGATAAACTAAAATCTAATTCATTTTCATCCTCATCGTCTTCATTTTTGTGAGATACTGGAGTTAAAATGGAATCATCTTCCAATTCTTTAACATTTTCACCTAAAACAAGAAAGATTTGTCAAAATCGAGAATAAAGCAAAATTAGCCACATTATCGAAGAATTAAATATAATGGTGATTTTTAATACATTTATGACTATGAAATGTTATGCTAAATGCCTCTTTAACATTCACTTTAGTTATTATTGGTCACATTATCCTATTCCGTATTTTATTTTACATTATCAAACCATTTCTTTCGTTTATTTCCTTTAGTTAACCTTTGTAATTCAACACCAGCATTTACATGCATCATTCTACTCTGCTAGAGTTAAAAATTCTTAAAATTACTTACCTAATTCATTTAAAACCTTATATAGTTCGTTAGCTTCCTCGTCTAGACTTATGTTTAATTTGGTTGGATCTTTAGGTATTATTGTCTCATCTAAATCATTAGAAGATACAGAGGTCTCACTTAAACAAAAGGGTATCTGCGATTCGATCACTGACGCACTTTTATCTTTCATAGAACTTTCTGGTCCTGTACAATATACGATAATCAATAATTAAATAATTAATTACATTTATATATATATATATATATATATATATATATATATATATATATATATATATATATATATATAAAGTAGTTAGGTATTATTGACTGACACGTTATCTAAAATAAAGTTTTATTTTGAGGATGCAGTCATTTAAGTAGGGCAGGATAAGTTAAACTCTTTGTTCTTAAATCAAGCTTTCGCAAAATTTATTTGCTTCATCAGGATATGCTAAAATATGTTATGGTAAATACAATGAAATTAGAATTAAAAAACATTGTATAAAACTAATATAAAAACTTACAACATGAGGTTAAACCATTAAATTATTAAATTCACAAAACATTCTTAACTTATCTAAATTATATTTTTATGTAAGTACAATATTTTAATTTTGAATATATTAATGACATTGATTATTATAATGATGTTTGATTTATGTCAGAAAGACACTCGTGTCATGTTTTTGTTATTGATAACTAGCTCTAGATTGTTATTATGCTTACGTAAAAAGTGGCGCCAAATATGAATATTTAAATTTTTGAAAATATAGTATTTATAGTCAGAAAATCACTAACTACTATTCTCATATTAAAATTGCAACTAAAAATGTTAAGACCTTAGCATCATTATATACAAAAACTAAATCACCTATTAGCATTATGGAAAGCTCAAATGTAGTTTATAGAATACCATGCCAAAATTGTGATAAGTCATACATCGGACACACATCTAGAAATCTAATAGGTAGACTAACATCACATAAAAGTGACCTTAGAAATAATAAAAATACGTGTGCATTAATAGATCATGCAATTAATAATAATCATTCATTTAATTTTAATGAAACTAATATATTAAAACGTGAAAACCAATTAAATAAGAGAGAATTTTTAGAAATGGTATGCATAAATAAATATCTGTACCATTTGATCAGATGATGTTATGTACATTTTTACTACTTTACAGGAGAGTCAAAAAACCGTTCATGGGAGTTTGAGTTTAAGGTTTTACCTATGAATTAGCAATTTTCATAATATAAAAATATATTAGTCGATGTGATATGTTATAATTTAATTGACGATCCCTATATAGCTGAACAAGAGTTTCAAAATAAAAGAAAAATTTGAAAAAATGACAATTATCATGTTTTGACCAAATGATTATTGTTAAAGGATATCACTTTATTATATTCCTATGTTGGAATTATTTAACTCTTTTTGAATTAATAAAACTTAATTACTACAAAAATATTTATTTATTAAAATATTTAGCATACAAAATGGCAATATGTAAAAAAATATCTTATTATGCATCGTTTTCGCTTTCGTCACTATTACTGACAACGTCGTTTTTCGTCATTGAATGCGGTAGGTTTTTATAAAATGGATGATAAAGTGGGTCTATGAAAGGTAATAGACTTAAAATGTCCTTATATTTTTCTTGGCTGATTCGAATTTGCTGTTTTTCATAGGCAAGAGAAACAATAATATTTGACGAGTCATAGTTATTCTTTTTTCCTCTTCTAATATCAATAATTTTAAACGGTTCATCTTCAAGTAAACTGCGCTTGTAAAATAGTTTTCCAAAGGCTTCTTTGCGTATTTGTATCCAAAATATTTGGTTCCAGGAAATGCTTTCATTACCTTCATCTTTCGTCTTTTTCACGAACAAACTAGATTTCAACAAATCTGAAAAAGAGAAAAAATCTTCCGTTTTCATTTCATATACTTTATATTTCTTACTACTCATTCGCACCAAATTATACCAGTCGTGAGGCACACTAATTACCCCATCGAACTGTTTCTTCTTCCTCTCTATGTTGGCATGATCTGAGTCGCATTCTAAATGCGTATGTCCTGGAACCAAATATTTGTGATCTATTGTTAATACAGAAGGTTTAATATTAAATACGTAAGTATAGAGCAACGGAATAATATTATTACGATTTTGGCCTGGGCATGTATCGGAGTAGAATATGATATGCTTAACCTCGTTGGGTATATCCTGAATAAACTTCAATAAACATGAAGCAATTTCATTGGCACCACGTTGACCATTACCTTCATGCCACATAAAGCAGCTTGTGGTGTTCGAATTGCAATTCCTTACTGTGAAATTATATGTCCATAATTTACGTTTGTAAAAACTGATACTTGTATTTAAGCACGGTGTAGCAAGACATTGCTGGAGATCAAATACAGCCATCAGTACTTTTCCTTCAGAATTGCGTGATCTAATTTTATCATCTGCTTTACATTTGTAATGAAAATCGGCCTTTTCTTTATGAATATCATATTCCGACTGCAAACTACATTTTTCATTTTCATCGATCACATTCTTAATTTTAGACAGGTAAGTATCACAAGTTTTACAAGTATCATTATGAGGCTTTTTGAATTTTAGACCAAATTCTAAAAAACATTTTCGGTATATACTGAAACTTACGGGAGTCGATGATCCCTGCAATTCTGAAGGTATTACATTGTCCTTGTACAATTTGTACATCTTTTCCAAATTCAGATCACTACCCAAATACTTTCTTGATGTTCTGCGTCTCGAGTAATGACTCTCATACGCCGGAAAGCTAGCAATATGTTGACGAACTATACTAATATCTTCATTTGACCGTTTGTTGGAGGGAGTGTGCCTACCTCGTTTATCTCCCTGTATAATATCAGTGTCAGCATTTTTCTTCTTTTTGATAATTCCATTGATAAAACCTCTACCTTCAGCAAATATGGCTTGAAAGCAAGCCCTACACACTTCGACTTTTAAAGAATGTTGTGTGATAAAATATTTTGCTGTAATAGTTCTGCTTCGGCGTGATACTTGTAGCTTACGCTTTGGTGGGGCAAGTTCAATCAAAGAACTTAAAAATTGGCGTTGTTCATCCCGAGATTTTAAGTTTCGATAGTCACGAAAATACATCGTTTTCGTTTTATCTTCAATATGACTATTACACTTTAATCGACAAGGTAAGAGAGGCAACTGTGTTTTGCTACAAATTGTCTTTCCTGATTGTGTGACATATTCTGTACCGGTCCGTATTCCATTAGTTCTGGCTCTTCGCAAACTTCTCTGAAACTGTCCTTCTCCACGTTTCCGTTTTTTAAATGGTACTTGTAGCTCACTATCGTTTGGATCATTTAACGACTCAGCATCACTAGACTCATGCGATTTAGATATCGTCCAAGTCCTATCTCCAACAGAATCGTCACTGGAATAAGGATCAGAATCTTGTAATAAACTCTCATTTCTTGTATCAATGTCAATGTCTGTATTTTGTACTGACAGGGCCCCATTGCTGTGAACTACTTCCAGTGCAACATTGCCTATATCCTGAGGGACGTTATCGATGCTCAGCTGCGGTTTAGAAGTTACACTTGCGTTTCCGTGGCCTATTTCCAGGTATATAGGAACCTCAAAACCATCGTTAGGCGAAGAGAAGTGACTTGTACTCGGCTGCAGGTCAAAATAAGTCCCAACTACATCATCATTGTTTATTAAAAGCTCTACAGGAGCATCGGTAAGTTCAGTCCAGTTTGGTAATAATTGGTCGTTGCCCAGTTGTAGTTTTTCAATGTTTGCTTTTGCCCTATCTGTGTTAATGTTATCACCAGCCTCAGGAATCTGAAATTAAACATGAGTACTCATAAATGAAACAAAATCACAAACGTATTTTTCTTTATAGAGAATTCTTTTTGTGAAAAAAAAAAACAGAAATGTTACATTAACCTTTCATTACGTTTTATACAAACCGCCCTCAAGAAACTTTATTTAATTGATATAATTAGATAAATAATTAAAATCTCTATTAACAACACTAATACATCTAAAGGACCTCAAACGTATATGACAAGAATTAATAGAATATTATTTCAGGGTAATATAAAAATATTTTTATTTTAAATTGAAACAAAATAAATACCATCATATTATACATAATGAAACATTCAGATATAAAAGTGCAAGCCATGTTGTCCTAGTCGTATTCGTTTGTTTTTATAAAATTTTCAAAATTGCAATGTTAAAATTGATCTATATCAAGGGCCCTTAAGGAAAGGTACAGGACATATTTATTTTCATGGAACTTTAATTTTAATTAGAATTTAAAACGCAACGATTTCAGAGTATTGCATTTATAATACGAACGTTTATATTTGTCATGCTTTTTTGGAACACTCTGTATAAGTGTTAATCGTTTAACAAAATTTAGTTATTCAATAGAAACAACTTTTGTGTTTACACTGTTTCGTTAGATCCCGAGTTTTAAAAATATTTTAAAAGTTAAAAACGTATGATATCCTTTATAATATAATATGTATCTCTCATAATATTCTAGTAATTACTACTATTCACAGAAATTATGTTAAAACCAATCCCAATTTCTAAAATGTCCATAATATTAACAATGTTTAAAGACTAGTTATTCTAGTCACATCGTGAATTGTTTAATAAAAAAAAATTATAGGTTATAATTTCTGTACTTACTTGAAACGCCTTGTTTTTAGTTTCCCTGGTACTAGACGGTGATTTGGGACATAAATCAAGAATTTTTAATGTTCGGCTACTAGACATTTTAATTTTAACTAACACAAACAAGTAAACATATAATATGTAAAGAAGCACAAGAGAAATGATAACTCACAGTGCGCGGCAAAATATTTCGCGAATGGCATTACTTTTCGCTTGGTCAGTTGTTGCTATGAATCATATAACAGTTTCTACCTAAAAGAGTCTGTAATGTCAATTTGGTCATGTGATGATATAAACACTTAACATTTTTTGACTTCAGTAATAAAATTAACAGTTATTTAGTCATTATCTGATATAAACACTTATCACTATTTGACCATAAAAAATGAAAAATGTATTTTGATCATTGTGTGACAAGAATACTTATGATAATCTGATCACACATAAACAAAAAAATATGCATATATCATTAAATAACCAACGTTGTCAATCAAATTATATT